GTGGTCAAGTGATGATTCTCTTCTGGGTTGTAAAATTCTCATTTTATCTTCCTATGGCAGAAAGGGGCAAGGGATCTCTCTGAAGCCTCTTTTATAAGGGCACTAATCCCATTCATGAGGGCATTGCTCTCATGACCTTATAACTTCCCAAAGGCCCCACCTTCTAATACCATCACATAGGGAAGCTAAGGAGTTACATACATATAACCTAGGCTTAGCTAAGCAGATTATTCCAGTCCAAAATTAAAATCTTGAAGAAATGAGAGAAATAATACAGGCAGAATTGAGAAATTATTCATAGCAGTATCACCGATTTTGAGGGTTCAGTACAAGCTGAAATTATCAGTGCCTTAATCTGTACTGTGGTATGAGGTTGTGCTCCCAACGCCCAGCCCCTCCGGGTTCCTGTCTATTGCCATTGCCTAAACACTGATACTAGCCTTTACCTTCATGCAGTACTATAGAGCTTTTCATATAAAGTCTATCTGTGCTTTAGCTGACAGATTCAGGTTCTCTTCTCTGCAAAAAGTAACTATGACTAATGGGAGTGGCATGCATGCATGCTCAGTTGTATCTGACTCTTTGCAACCCCATGGACTGTAGACCACCAGGCCCCTCTGTCCATGGAATTTCCCAGGTAACAATACTGGAATGGGTTGCCATTTCCTACTGTAGAGGATCTTCCTGTCTCAGGGGTTGAATGTGGGTCTCTTGTATCTCCTGCATTGACTGGAAGATTCTTTAACACTGATCCAACAGGAAAGTCCAGTGGGAATGGAGAGGATGTGAAAAGGAACCAAAAAGACATCTCAGGTGAATGGCAATAAAAATGGTGTGATTTAATCTAGGAGATTCTAATAAAACTTCCAAGCCTGGAGGGGGAAAACAGACTTGAAGTATAGCTGGTCTTCTCTATCCACAGGTTCCACATTTTAAAAAAATTAAAATTACTGACAGTTCAAAAAAACAAAACTTGAATATGCCACACTCTGGCAACTATTTACAGAGCATTTAAATTGCATTTACAACTATTTACATAGCATTTACATTGAATTAGGTATTATAAACAAACTAGGTGTGATTTAAAGAATAAGGGAGGATGTTCCTGGGTTATATGCCAATACTACACCATTTTATATAAGGTTCTTGAGCATACTCAGATTTTGGTATGGGGGGGGGATTCTGGAACTGATCAATCCCGTGCAGATACTGAAGAACAACAAAAAATGTATTCAGGAGGCAGGTAATAAGAACAGGGGGGACTAGAGCAAATAGTATATCAGGAAGTAGGGTTAAATAATAATGACATGTGTGTGTGTGTGTGTGTGTGTGTGTGTGTAGGTGTGCACGCATGTGCACACACATGCACACGCACTTCATCTTGTCTCTTTGTTGGCTATGGACTGTAGCCCAAAAGGCTCCTCTGTCCATGGGACTTCCCAGGCAAGAATACTGGAGTGGGTTGCCATTTCCTACTCCAGGGGATCTTCCCAATCCCATGTCTTGAACCCATGTCTCCTGAGTGGTAGGTGGATTATTTACAACTACCTCCACATGGGGAGCCCAATAATGACTAAGTGACCTCCTAATTGTTCACTCTTTTATCATTCCCAAAAATTGTTTGTTGAATTCTTGTTATATGGCAACAATTTTGTTGGCTCTGGACACTTAAAGATAAAATGGCAAAATCTATGTAGTCAAGGAGACACTAGTCTTTTTCCAGTGCAGTAGTGAATTTCAAGGCATAAATTTCTTTCATTTAAAAAAATTTTTATTTATTATTGTGTTTGGCTGTGCTGGGTCTTCATTGCTGTGTGCAGTCTTTCTCTGGTTGCAGCAAGTGGGGACTAATCTCGAAGTGCAGGCTTCTCACTGCGGCGGCTCCTCTTGCAGAGCATGGGCTGCAAGAGTGGAGGGCACATGGGCTTCAGTAGCTGTGGCCTGTGGGAGTAGTTGCCCCACAGCATGTGGGATCTTCCCAGACCAGGGATTGAACCTGCATCCTCTACATTGGCAGGCAGACTCTTAACCACTGAACCACCAGGGACGTCTTCCTTTCAGTTTTCAATTTGACCATTTAGATAACTCTCTCTCTCAGGCAAATTATTGCCATCCATTTATTACTTTCAGAAATTGACAGAAATAGAAATTAAGTAATATTTCCTGTATCAAATAATACTAGAAGAATGAAAGTAAAAAAAAAAAAGAAAAAAATTCCTAAGGGACTTACATTCTCTCTTTTATGAATACATACCTATTTGCTAGTTATGGTTAATCATAAGTTTAAAAGTTTATGTAAAATAATACAGTATAGAAAAAAAGGAAGTGCGATTCCACATATGACAGCAGAAAGGCTGGTGCCATCAACTCTGCCCAGCTAGTTACCACTTGACCCAGCTGCCCCTAGGCACGTATCAACTTGGACTCTCAGAAAGTCCTTCTTCCTGAGATACCCAGGCTTGGATTAAAATTCAATTGCTACAATTCAAATAGTCCTCTTGAAACTGTAACTGAATAGAATAGGGAGTTTAAAGCCTGAAATGGTATAAACTCACTAGCTAATCAGAAAAGGAAGAAGACAAAATGTATCTCTCATGACCAAAATGATACTGATGTCTCACCACTTTCCAGGTCCCCCATTACTTCAAGAGAAAATAAAGGCATGCACTAAGTTATAAAACAAAATTACATGATGCAGAGCTGGGGAATAACACTAGTGCATGGAAGACTCACAGGGGTTTACTGACATAGCAACTGGTAAGGAGACTGTGCAGACCTAGTCCTCCCTCATAGACGGATGTTACTGATGGATGGTTTCCCAATCCATCCACAAGCCACTGTGGCATACACTGTGCTCTTCTGCCAGCATAACTGTTGGAGTCCCAGTTTCCTGAGACTCTTTATATAGTGGTGTCTTTTGGTGAAGTGAAATTAATTAGTTATGGAAGAGCTTCTCGTCTAGGGTGCCATCAATGTGTGTGCCAAAATATCAGTCTCCTCAACTCTAGGATTTACCCTGAGTCTGGGATATTCAGAGCCACAGATCCATCATGTTCCCTGCAAGCAGGCCATTTGCCTCAAAGTTTTATGAAAATATTCTTTTTATCTGTTTGGCAAAATGTGAACAAGGATGGGAAACACCAGGCAGAACCAATACTCACTAGTCTCTCTAGGAACTCTGGGAGTTTGGTGGCACAATCCAGTCATCATCTACATAGACCTCAGCAGGCCTCTGCCAATTCCATTCCAATTAAATTCAAGCAGAATTTTTGGGTCTTGGCTGATTCATCTTAATCGTTATATGAAAAAGCAAAGAGCCAAGAATAGCCAAGGCAATTTTAGAGAAGAATCATATGGAAGCAGGACTTGCAAAATGTTTGGATAGGGTGCATGGGAGTTCATTATATTATCTGTATTTTTCTGCGTCTGTCTAAAATATTTCACAATTAACTTAAATTTAAAAGAAAATAAAAGAGTGTAGCTATAGTCTCTGATTGTTAAGACTCTTGTAAACAAGAAAGTAGAGAGCACAAATTTAACCTAAAAGGTTGTTGAATTCAGCTAGCAGTACCTTAAAATATATAGCATTTAGCCATCAAAAGACACCATAAAAAATTAAAAGACAAAAAAAAAATTAAAAGACAACAAGAGAGTCTCTGCAAAGTAAGAGACACTATTTGTAACACATATATCTGAAAAAAGAGGCGTATTTACACTTTAAAAATATATAAAGATTATCTGCAAATTAATTTTAAAAATCAAGTCAACCAAAAAGTGAACCAAAATCAGAACAGGCATTTCACAGAAACCCAAATAGTCACTAAACATATAAAGATGCTCAACCATATTAGCAAGACAGAAAATACAAATTAAAAGATCAATCAGATGCTACCACCATCTGATTATAACAATCAGTGTGGGTTTATTACAATAGTAATCAACAATAGTGTGGGTGTTACAAATAATGATGTGATAGTCCAATTCATGTGAAATGGATTTATGTGTAGATGAACCTCAAAAACTGAATGTGCAGTGAAAAAAAGGAAAAAAATGTAGTGTAAATTTATTAGATCAAGATACAATACCAGGATAGCTATATTTTTAGGGAATTACACACATAAATATTTTCAAAAAGCAAGCAAATGAATAATATAAAATTTAGAGTAATAATTATTTCTGGCTGGAATGGAAAATGTTTTAAAGAGGCCTCTTAGAAGGCTTCAAAAATGCTGGCACTTGTCTGGATCTTCAGGTCTGTAGTGAGTACCTGGGTATTCTTTTTTATTATTACCCTTTAAAATGTGCACATATGGGATACATTCATATATATATATATATATATATATATATTTCACAATTAACGTTTGTTTAGAAAATCCAGTGAGATTTAAAGAAGAGCTCTTACAAAATTGTTCCTATATATATATATATAATTTTTTTTTTTTTTTGGAGGGCAAGATGTTCTCTAATTTACAATGTTTGAAAACTGCCAGTGGAAGCCAGTTAAAAGGAACTTTTGGATACCTCTGCTTCCCTTGTGGCCCAGCTGGTAAAGAATTCGCCTGCAATGTGGGAGCCCTGGGTTCAAGCCCTGGGTTGGGAAGATCCCCTGGATAAGGGAAAAGCTACCCACTCCAGTATTCTGGCCAGGAGAATTCACAAACAGATGGACACCACTGAGCGACTTTCACTTTCACTTTACACTTTCAAAGCTTTCCAGCAGAACCTTAGAACACCAGTTTCTAAGAGAGCAATGGGTTTTCTCTAGCTGGGGAAAGGGGGTGGGGGAGTCCAGCTTAACTCAACTCTGCCCCTTTGCTCCTTTCGTAGGAGACGCCCAGAAAAACCTCTCCCCCACCTACACCCCTTTCCAACCCTTACCGACCCCAGGGACCTGCGCCGGGAAACCAGAGCCCCGCCCACTCAGCGAGCCCCACCCCGCGCTGGCCCCGCCCCCAGGGGCTCCCGGCACCCGGTGCGCGCGCCCTTCGGGAGGCGGGGCTGCTCAGGCTCACTGCCGGGCAGCGGCGGCTGCCTGCGCTCTCCGCTTCTAGGTCTCCGCCGGCGGATCCTCTCCTGGTGTCTGGATTCCCGGGCCCTGGTGAGTAGCTGGAGATTTCCGGGCCCAGCTGGCTCAGCTGTGGCCAGCACTGGGGCCCTCAGCGCCTGCGCTCTTACCCGCCAGCCAATCTGCTCGCCTGCAGATGGCCTTTGACCCTGCGCCCCAACGCCCTGCGGCGGCCGCGGCGGGCTGCGTATCGCTGCGAGTCTCGGGAACGCGGGAACCCCACTGCGTCGCTCTTATACCTGATTTTGCTAGGGTTAGTTTTGTTGTCTTCTATCCTACTTTATCCCGAGCCTGTCGGCCTCGTCTCCGCCACTTTTTTGCAGCGGAACCTCCTGTCGCCTCGGTATCTTTCCCTCCCCAGGAAGTTGGGAATTTTAGGAGTGATGGAAAAGCCTTTCAGCGCCTAATCCTTTTGTCCCCAAACTCGGCCTTGTGCCTCGGGCACAAGTGGGAAGGTCGAGGCCTACCTGGCTTGGGCTGCAGCAGGAAGGTGGCAAGCTCCGGTCTCCGTACGCCGAGGCGTGGGGAGCGGAGAGCGAGGGCGGGGAGGCCGACGCAGAGATGCGTTTTCATTCACCTGTTCCACGTTTGGCTCTATCATTTTAGACTGTTAGCGTTTGCTGAATCGAAGGATGCGCCACTCTGCTGGAATAGTATCTTTTCCTATTTTCCAGAGGAACCAGTGAAAATTTAGGCAGTTAGGACTGTTGGTTTCTGTTTCAGCAGTTAGAGACCCTGCAGATATGAGTTAAGGAAAAATGTGGAAGTACGTTAAAAAAATAAAACAAGGGAAGATAATGTTAATTATATGAATTCAGAAAAAGGCAAGTAAGACTGGAATGAGTTGGTTATGTTAAAGTATTAAGACAGGAGCTTCCTGGGTGTCTCAGTGATAAAGAATCCACCTGCAATGCAAGAGATCCTGGTTTGATCCCTGGGTTAGGAAGATCCCGTGGAGAAGGAAATGGCAACTCACTCCAGGATTCTTGCCTGGGAAATCCCATGGACAGAGGAGTGGGCTACATACATACAGTTCATGGAGTTGCAAAGAGTCAGACATGTTTAGCAACTAAACAACAACAACCGAATTTAGACAATAGTTGAAAGAAAAATACAAAATAAAATCTAAGTATTGGTAATATTAAGTCACACGATTGCACATAATTTTCATGACAGTATGTTACTCCATTCATATTGAACTATATGTAAACCTTGAAAAAATAGTGTTGTGGAGGGAATCTTGCGGATTTGCAGTTTTATGCATTTTTCTATGCATAAAACATTACCAGAGCTGTTGCTGTCAGTCACACAATGAGTATTGAGTATGTAAGAAAACAAACTTTCTTCAGATTAAATTTGGACTACAGTTTATGAGTAAGTGATAACAGATAATCATCTTTAAGCAAAAACATAATCACATGTCAGCAGTTTTCATCTGTCACAAAATTTATGGTGGTGTATTCTCTAAACTTGCTTTCTCTAAAATGTAGGAAGCTGTGAAAACATGAGGAGCTTGAGTTCTAGAACTGTATTTCTCTGCTGTTTGCGCATTGCTTAACCTCCGGTTACTCAGCCATTTGTTAGCCCAGGTATTGGGAAAAAATTGGCAACTGCTCTGTTGCCAATTTAGTTNAAAAAAAAATTATTGGATCTGTCTATTTAGCTATGATTCTTCCTATATAATATGTTCAGTATAAACTGGGCATGTCAACTATATGTATAGTCTGTAGAACCTGTTTGTACACATACTGCCCCAATAGATACCAATGTCAAAAACAAAAGGGCCAGAAGTTAAATTTTTTAAGTTTAACATTTAATAGTCATTGACTAAATATAAGGTATATTGGGTTCTACTATAGTGTAAAGGTAAGGACTCCATTTCTGGATCTTATGGAACAATCTAGTAGGATGTATAATACATTAAATAGCGTGGTGCAATAGATAAATGCAAATTTAAAAAGTAGGTAACAATGTCATAATAGACTATATGGGAAAGTGAGTATTTTTCAGTCTGGAATCATTGGGAGAAGTATCAAGAAGAGGCAACAGTTTAGCTTTGTCTTGATGGATTAGTGTAATAGCCGAGAAATTAGCCATATGGAGAATAGGTACTTAGAGTAAGCTGTGTGTTAACTGATTGCTTGCCAGGCACCTATCTTTAATAACAGTCATCATCAAAATAAATAGTTGTTTGTATTCATTCAGTATTACACTAAGCCAGAAATGATTCCAGGGGTTTTGTAATACTAACTTTCATCCTCATAAAGATCCTTTGAGTGAGGTAATAACTCATTGTAGAGATGAGAAAAGCAGGGAAAATTTCAAGTCACTTATATAGGTGAAAAGGCTAAAAAAAGCCCTGCTAGAATTTGGACTGCAGAGTCCAAATTTTAAGCACAGGAGACCTGTCTTTATTTGGGTAGATTAGACTTACTGGAAGTAATAATATGAAAGAAAAGAGAAATAGAGTAAAGGAGGGAGCAGCAGCCTTTATAAATAGATATTTCATGTTTTCTGTTCATCTAGTGCTCTGAGAAGTGGGTCTAACAAATATACAAAGGTCTCAGAACTGTTTCATATATTTCTTCACTTTTTCTTTTTTAAAATTAATTGGTATTATTTGATTAAAACATTACCTTTTTACATTTTATTTTGCATATATTATCTTGCATGATTTACAGAACAAATTTGTCAGAAAACAGAAGAGTTAATTTTTTTTGTAGACAAGTTTTAAAAAAAATCTCAGAGTCACGCAGGTCAACATAGGTGATTTAAACGTAGATCTTCAAATTCCCAAATCAATATTCTTTCCATTATGTATCCTGACTCTTCTTTGAATTTCGCCCTGTTCAGCTGATCAGTGTTTCAAAAATCCGTCTTATAATTTCTAAATTGAGTAGTTATTGTTTCTATTCTCTATGATTTGTCAATATTCATTACCATTGATTATTTCCTTATAAAATACCTACTGCATATAAATTTTTATTCCTTATGAAATGTTATGTTCTAATTTTAGAAGACAGCATAAGAAAATATCACTAAGTAATTGATTACCCACAGGTAATCATTATACGTTTACATGCACTTCCTCTCTGTCTCCTTAATATAGTTGAGCTCCTTTTACATCCATGTTTTTTCCCCTACTTAATGACTTGTCAAAAATTCTCCGTTTCTTTAAGTAAAGGGAAAGATTTGTTTTTATCTTGTCAACTTTGAAATTTTAGGACAACAAATTGTAGAGGTGGGTCAGAATGGTAGTATCATCCCTTTATTCATGTACACAAGAGTGCCACCTTCCCTGCAAAGGAATGTTACCCTCTGTAAATAATCAGCCTTATTAGATTCTTATTTTTCTGTTTCTTCTGCTCACTTGGGAAAATCTATTTTTTTCTTATTGTCATTTTGCTTTTTTCACTTAGCAGTATATCCACAGAGTCACTTTCTTTCATCTCAGAGCTCTTCCTCATTTTTTCTGAATACTCAGTATTTTACAAACAGTGTTGCATATTAACTTATGTACTTACTATTGGTTGTGTATTTTCAAGGTAAATTCTGTGAAGTAGGATTCTTGAATCAAAGGAATATGGATGTGTAATTTTGTTATATATTGCCCAATTCCCAAAAAGGTTGTATAGATTTCATTCACTGTCAATGTATAAGAGTGCTTATTTTCTCACTAAGTAAAGGGAAAGATTTGTTTTTATCTTGTCAACTTTGAAATTTTAGGACAACAAATCGTAGAGGTGGGTCAGAATGGTAGTATCATCCCTTTATTCATGTACATAAGAGTGCCACCTTCCCTGCAAAGGAATGTTACCCTCTGTAGATAATCAACCTTATTAGATTCTTATTTTTCTGTTTCTTCTGCTCACTTGGGAAAATCTATTGTTTTCTTATTGTCATTTTGCTTTTTTCACTTAGCAGTATATCCACAGAGTAACTTTCTTTCATCTCAGAGCTCTTCCTCATTTTTTCTGAATACTCAGTATTTTACAAACAGTGCTGCATATTATGTACTTACTATTAAATTCTCTGAAGTAGGATTCTTGAATCAAAGGAAAATGGATGTGTAATTTTGTTATATATTGCCCAATTCCCAAAAAGGTTGTATAGATTTCATTCACTGTCAATGTATAAGAGTGCTTATTTTCTCACTGTTCTTGCCAGTAGGATGTAGTTTCATGCTTTTTATTTTTTGCCAATCTCATAGATAAGAAATGATACATTTGTGTGGTTTTAATTTACATTTTACTAATATTGAATGATACAGAAGATCTTTCAAATAATTTCATTCAGATTGTCAGTTGTCCTTTCACTTTATTTTGTCCTTTCACTTTATTTTGTAGTGTTTTTTGATATATATATTTAAAAATCTATGTAGTTAATCTTTTTTTTTTAATTTATTGCATCTGAATTTTGAGTCTTAGATATACAAAGTCTTTTATTACACTAAGGATATATGCCAATTCAGGTGGGATTATATGAATATTTGAATGATTCTAGGCCCTACCGCTTACATTATTCTTTGAGAGATTAAGGTGGGAAATAGGGGCATTATTTAAAACCTCTGGTTCAAAAGTAGCATCAGAGAAGCTGAGAATATAAGGAAAAAATGGCAGCTGAGAAAATGAACAGAGCTTTCGGTAGTTTCATGGCTCTTTGGGGACCAAAATTGGAATTCAGGATCCTTCTAAAGCCCACCCTAGAGGGGGAGTCTTGGTAAAGACTTGTGACTTTGATTTCAGAACTTGTACTTACAAGTTATAAAGGAGTAAAGATGAATCAGAAATACACCATGTATTTGCAAGGACTTAAAGCCAGTTTTGAAGATTTCCATCTGTGATTGTTGCTGTTCAGTCACTAAGTTGCATCTGACTTTTTGCAACCCCGTGAATTGTAGCTCACTAGTCTTCCCTGTTCTCCACTATTTCAATTTGCTCAGACTCATGTCTATTTGAGTCAGTGGTGCCATTCAACCATCTCATCCTCTGTCGCCTTCTTCTCCTCTTGACCTCAATCTTTGCCAGCATCAGTCTTTTCCAATGAGTTAGCTGTTTGCATCACATGTCCAGAGTATTTGAGCTTCAGCTTCAGCACCAGCCCTTCCAGTGTGATTATACTAAGATAATCTTTCTCTACCCTAAAAGTCTTCAAGAAATAAAAATAAGCTTTCTTTGAAGGAAATGACATGTCGAGCCTCACATTATCTCTGAAACTTTTTATATTCTATGTATAGCATTTAGTAAAAACAATAATTTAGCCTATTTAAAAAAATAGTTATTATCTGGATATTAAGAGGAAAAAACCAAACAGGCAATAGAAACAGAATCCTAAGATTCAAATTCAGGTTATTTGAGGTAGACTTTAAATAAATGGGATTACAAAACTCAAGGAATAGGGAATTTTAACAGAAAACTGATATCTTTGAGAAGAGTCAAATGAAAATTTTAAGACTAAATTTATAACTGAAATTAGTTGCCACTGAAGAGAGTCAGGAAATTGAAGATAGTTCAGAAGAAAATATTCAAACTGAACCATGGAGAGAGAAAAGGAGGAAAATTTTAAAAATGTTTAAGGAACACATGGGACATAGAATTCAGATGTGTGTAATGTATTCCATAATGCGAGATGAGAGACAAGATCAAATTGAGTCTAACACTTGAGTTGGTGAAATGGGGTGGGGAAAAAGGTGATTATAATTGAGGCAGTCACATAATAAGTTTGTTGAATGACTAGGCTTTTTATATGTTCGTAAGTATTTCCTTTTTAAATCTGAAGTTTTGATTTTATATTTAGAAAATTTTAGTCTCTCTGGATGGAATGTTTCTTTTCTATATCAGTCTAAGCCTCACATTATCTCTGAAACTTTTTATATTCTATGTATAGCATTTAGTAAAAACAATAATTTAGCCTATAAAAAAAATAGTTACTGTCTGGATATTAAGAGGAAAAACCAAACAGGCAATAGAAACAGAATCCTAAGATTCAAATTCAGGTTATTAGAGGTAGACTTTAAATAAATGGGATTACAAAACTCAAGTAGGGAATTTTAACAGAAAACTGATATCTTTGAGAAGAGTCAAATGAAAATTTTAAGACTAAATTTATAGCTGAAATTAGTTGCCACTGAAGAGAGTCAGGAAATTGAAGATAGTTCAGAAGAAAATATTCAGACTGAACCATGGAGAGACAAAAGGAGGAAAATTTTTTAAATGTTTAAGGAACACATGGGACATAGAATTCCGATGTGCGTAATGTATTCTGTAATGCGAGATGAGAGACAAGATCAAATTGAGTCTAACATTTGAGTTGGTGAAATGGGGTGGGGAAAAAGGTGATTATAATTGAGGCAGTCACATAATAAGTTTGTTGAATGACTAGGCTTTTTATAGATTCGTAAGTATTTCCTTTTTAAATCTGAAGTTTTGATTTTATATTTAGAAAATTTTAGTCTCTCTGGATGGAATGTTTCTTTTCTATATCAGTCTATGGAAAATATGTCCAAAGGATGAAGAATATATTCACTTTCTTAAATAACATGCTTAAAATCTTCATCTGACAAAAATGTAATTGTGATATTTCCAAATAAATACTGCTATCAGTCTAATTATGTATAGATTCTATAGCAATTAATAATTGATTATATAATTAACATCATAATACTCTTTAAAATTTTTCAGTTTAACAAACTTTATGGATTTTAGGTGTCCTTTTGAATATATTGGAAAATATTATTAATACCACTTACTAATAGTTGTTTTTCAATACATTACAGCTAAACATTTACCATTTTGGAGTTTAAAGGATGACATCATGGCAAAATTTCGAAGAAAGACTTGCTTCATTTTGTCACTTTTTATTCTACTCTTTTTCTCTCTGATGATGGGCTTAAAAATGCTGAGACCAAATCAAGCAGCCTTTGGAGATCCTTTTGGACTTGACCTTCTTCCAGAAATTCGGCAACAAACTCATTTGACGAAAGTTTTTGATTCCCAAAAGAGTGACAAAATCAACAGTGAAACCAACATCAAGAACTTAAAAACTGAGGAAAGCACTGTGAAAGCTTCCGTAGCCTCTGAACCTCGTCCAGAAGAACTGCCGCCTCTGAACTATTATTTACATGTATTTTATTACAGCTGGTATGGAAATCCACAATTCGATGGTAAATACATACATTGGGACCATCCCGTTCTCTCACACTGGGACCCTGGGATCACCAAGAAATACCCCAAAGGGAAGCACAAGCCCCCTGATGACATCGGCTCCAGGTTTTATCCTGAGCTGGGAAGTTACAGCTCTCGGGATCCCTCTGTCATTGAAACTCACATGAAACAAATGTACTCAGCTTCAATTGGTAAGTATTTTAGATATGTATGTGAATGTGTAAGTAAATTTTTGTGGAACATTAGTTACTAATTAACCTTCACTGCTGGCTCAGTGGCACGTTTCGCCTGCGATGCAGGAGACAGGGGTTCGATCCCTGGGTTGGAAAGATCCCCTGGAGAAGGAAATGGCAATCCACACCATTATTCTTGCCTGGGAAATCCCATGGACAGAGGAGCCTGGCGGACTACAGTCCATGGCGTCAGAAATTATTAATTAGTCTCACATTATAAGTTTATAATTTTAAACTTACAAACTCTAGATTAAACTGTTGTTATAACATGTTAACGCTAACATTTGTGGGTGTATTATTTTTATTGATTTCTAGTTTAATACTCTGTGAATTTTATTAAATTGTTATTGACATAAGATACAATGAATTCTCTCATTTTATATTATACATCTGTTTAAATATCGCCCCAATATGAAGTAAAATATTCTATAACCCCCGAATTTTTGTCTGCTATTTAGCTCTCCCTACATACAAGGAAACTATGTATCATATAGAGTAGTTGTTGTAAATATTTTACTATTAAATAAAAATAGAATCATTAAATATTCATGTGTATATATGTGTGGGAGGGGAGTCTTTTACTCAGCATGCTGTTTTGAAATTGAGTCATTATTGCTTAGTCGTATTCCATTGTATAATTATAGTGATTTGTTTCTGCATTCATCTTGGTGCACATTTGTGCTGTTTCAAATTTTAGGCATGTAGCATATAATTTAGCCTTTTTTTAAAAAAAAAACTAGTTTGACAATCTTATTTAACACCTGTTTATTTCATTTGTTTTAATATTGATATAGTTGATTTTACATGTTTCATTTTGCTATTTGTTTTCCATTTATCTCATCTGTTCTAGTCCTTTTCCCCAATTTTTTCTGCCTCTCCTTGTATTGAAAATGTTTAGTCCAGTTTATATTCTTTTCTGACTTGTTAGATATATTCCTTCATTTTATGATTGGTCTGACGTTTACAATATGCACCTTTAACTGATGGGAAGTCACAAAGTATTCCTACTGTTTTCCCCTCTTCCCTTCAACTTTTTCTTCCCTCTAATTTCTGGCACTTCAATTACATATATTTACATAGAATCATGTCACACAGATAACTACTATAGAAAAATACGTAATTGAGCATATGAAAATTCAACTCATTAATATTTCCTTTATAAAACTCTCCCTGTTTTGATTCCGTCGTCTTTATGTCTCTACCACTAGGGCCAAAAGGAGAAATTGAGTGTTCTTAAATTTTTCTGACTCTTCAAAAGGTGCCAACTCACTGTTAAGCTGATATGGGTAAAGAGACATGCAAGATTTTTTCATGAACAAAATACTACAGAGACCTGTGAATCTATTATATATCAGCTTTGTGCAAGATGACTGGTTTTTTTTAACTGGAGTATAGTTGCTTTTCAGTGTTTCTGTTGTACAGCAAAGTGAATCAGCCACACCTACGCATAGATTCCCCCATTTTTGGATTTCCTTCCCGTGGTCACCGCAGAGCATTGAATAGAGTTCCCTGTGCTACATCGTAGGTCTCAGCAGTTACCTGTTTTACACAGTGTGTGTAAATGTCGATCCCAACTCCCAGTCCATTCCACTCCCTCTTCACCTCTTGGTGTCCATGCATTTGTTCTCTGCGTCTGTCTCTATTACTACTTTGCAAAGAGTTTCTCTATACCATTTTTCTAGATTGCACATTTATGCATTCATATACGATATTAGTTGTTCTGACTTCCTTTGCTCTCTGCAACAGTCTCTAGGTCTATCCCTGTCTCCACAATTGGCACAGTTTTGTTCCTTTTTATGGCTGAGTAATATTCCATTGTGTTCATGTACCACTTCTCTGTCCATTCCTCTGTTAAGGAAAATTTAGGTTGCTTCCGTGTTCTGGCTATTGTAAATAGTGCTGCAATGAACACTGGGTGCATGTATCTTTTTGAATTATCATTTTTTCCAGGTGTATGCCCAGGAGTTGGATTACTGAGATATCTAGTATTTCTAGTTTTTGTTTTCTTAAGGAACCTCCATACTGTTCTTCATAATGACTGTGTCAGTTTACATTGATACAGTATAAGAGGATTCTCTTTTCTCTGTATCTTCAGTAGCACTTGTTATCTCTTGTTTTTTTGATGATAGCTATTGATACAGGTACAAAAGGATATCTCACTGTAGTTTTGACTTGTAAATATTTTCCAGGTGATAGTAATTTTTTTCATGTGCCTGTTGGCCATTTGTAAGTCTTCTTTGGAAAAAAGCCTGGTTTTTGTTGCTGAATTATATGAATTTTTGTAAATGATGGATATTAGCCCCTTATTCATTACATGATATGCAAAATAATTTCTCCTATTCAGTATATATCTTTTAATTGTATTATTGTTGCTTTTGCTCTGCAGAAGCTTTTAAGATTGACACAGTCCTACTTTAAGATTTTTTCTTTTGTTGTTTGTGCTTTTTCTGTCATATGCTTATCAGTGCTAAGACCAGTGTCAGAGATCTTCTTTCCTGTGTTTACTTTAGGGAGTTTTATATCAGGTCTGTCTTATATTTTAAGTCTTTGATCTCTTTCAAGGTGCTTTTTGTGAGTAGTATAGGATAGACCCAACTTTCTTTGCTGTGTATGACTATCTAATTTTCCCAGCACCAAAGGATGTTCTTGGTACTCTTGTCATGTATTAGCTCCTCGAGGTGTAAAGCCAGATTGTTTCTTTGTAAGTTTTCCCATTTCTTAACATCTTCATTTTATGACTACAAATATCCCTTTCAGAATGGTTTTTGGAGCATCCGGTAAGAAAGTGAAAGAGGAGAGTGGAAAAGTTGGCTTAAAACTCAGCATTCAGAAAACTAAGATCATGGCATCTGGTCCCATCACTTCTTGGCAAATAGATGGGGAAACAATGGAAATCCAGTACTTTGGCCACCTCGTGTGAAGAGTTGACTCGTTGGAAAAGACCCTGATGCTGGGAGGGATTGGGGGCAGGAGGAGAAGGGGATGACAGAGGATAAGATGGTTGGATGGCATCGCCAACATGATGGACATGAGTTTGAGGTGGGTCCGGGTGTTGGTGATGAACAGGGAGGCCTGGCGTGCTGCAGTCCATGGGATCGCAAGGAGTCGGACATAACTGAGTGGCTGAACTGAACTGATAGGTTTAGTAGAAAGTGATTTTATTTTCATTTATTTTAAGATAATCTTTGGTTCCTATTTTGATTTCTTCTTTCACCCATTGGTTGTTCAGGAGTTCATCGCCACCATGTTGCTGATGTCACTTCCTATTATACTTCTCATTATTAGACAAAGAATAACTGGACTTATTGTAAAAATTGTGAGCACAGAACACGATTTTGGTCCATGGACTTTTCCTGCTGACACTGGCGTCTTTTGAATTGAAGAATATAGTGAAAACTATTTAAATTGCTATATGAATGTGCTTTAACTTGTTTAAAATTCATATTTTTCCTTTGATATAAATGGCCTTGTTTTTCCTTTTATTGAAATTGCTGTGTGAAATAATTATACTTTTGTATCACCCAGTGCAAGCTGGTTAATTATTTGTTCTACAATTAAAGTGTTATGTGTTTTAAATATTACTGGTCTAACCTTTTTTTTTTCTCGAGAAAAGAATGATGAAATTAGAATGAAGTATTAATGTAGTATTTAAACTCTAACCATTATAATAATGTATCAGATAGAAGTAGCCACTGATAGATATATATCCTTTTCAAGTCTTTAAAGTACCATAGACAAGTACTTCCCATTTTTTAATTTTCTATAAAATGCTCAAAAAAACATAGTCAGATATTCAGAATAATGGTCCCCAAGATGTACACATTCCAATCTCTGGAATCTTTAAGTATGTTGTCTTACAAGTTAAAAGGAATTAAGGTTGCAGATGTATAATTAGGGTTGCTAATTGGTTGACCTTGAAATAGGACTGATATAATCACTGGAATCCCTACAAGTAGGAGAGGGAAAAGAGAGATAAGTGATCTAAATAAGAGATAAGTGATCTAAGTTGGAGATAAGTCATCTAAAAAGGGCTTAGTAAAAAAAAAAAATAAAAAGGGCTTAGTTTACGGGGCCTGCCTTTGAAAATCAAGAGCCAAACAATGCGATGTCTTCTGTAAGCTAAGAACAGCAAGGAAACAGCTTCTTTCTGGAAACCTCTAGGAAGGGATGTAGTTCAGTGAACCCTCTTGATGTAGACCCATGTCAAATTCTGACCTATAAAACTGTAAGGTTATAAACTTTCATTGTTTTAAGCCATTAAATTTGTGTTAATTCATTATGGCAGTAATAGAAAACTAATACACTTCAGCAAAACATAATTTACTCTATATCTTTAAAATTATCTTCCCTTTCCTTCAGGTTAGCACTATTTATTTATTAAGTTTCTACCATGTCCCAGCCTTGTGCTAGATTCAAGATGAGTAAGTCACATCTCCTGGGTTTCTGTTTGTTTTCTTTATTGGTACTTGAAAAGCGCTAGATGGAAACAAAGCTGAAAATTAGCAGTTTTAATAAGGCAACAGTTTGTATTTCTGAAACTCCTGCCTTTAAAATTTGTACATAAAAGTAGAAGAAACAGAACTTATAGTAAGACAGTTCAGTCACACAGTCATAACCAACTCTTTGCGACCCCATGGACTGCAGCAGGCCTGGCTTCACTGTCCATCATCAGTTCCCACAGCATGCTCAAACTCACGTCCATCGAGTCAGTGATGCCATCCAACCAGCTCATCCTCTGTCGTCCCCTTCTCCTCCTGCCTTCAATCTTTCCCAGCAATCAGGGTCTTCTCAAATGAGTCAGTTCTTCGCATCAGGTGGCCAAAGTATTGCAGTTTCAGCTTCAGCATCAGTCCTTCCAATGAATATTGAGGACTGATTTCCTTTAGGATTGACTGGTTTTATTTCCTTGCAATCCAAGAGACTCTCAAGAGTCTTCTCCAATACCACAGTTCAAAAGCATCAATTCTTCCATGCTCAGCTTTCTCTATAGTCCACCTTTCACATCCATATATGACTACTGGAAAACCATAGCTTTGACTATATGGACCTTTGTCTGCAAAGCAATGTCTCTGCTTTTTAATATGTTGTCTTGGTTGATCATAGATTTTCAAGCTTCTTTTAATTTCATGGCTGCAGTCACCATCTGTAGTAATTTTGGAGCCCAAGAAAATAAAGTCTGTCACTGTTTCCATTGTTCCCCATTTATTTGCCATGAAGTGATGGGACCAGATGCCAAGATCTTCGTTTTCTGAATGCTGAGTTTTGAGCCAACGTTTTCACTCTCCTCTTTCACTTTCATCAAGAGGCTCTTTAGTTCTTTGCTTTCTGCCATAACGGTGGTGTCATCTCCATATCGGAAGTTACTAATATTTCTCCCAGCAATCTTTTATTTATTTTTTTTTAAATTCTCCCAGCAATCTTGATTCCATGTTGTCATTCATTCAGCCTGGCATTTTGCATGATGTATTCTGCATATAAGTTAAATAAGCAGGGTGACAATATACAGCCTTGATGTACTCCTTTCCAGATTTGTAACCAGTCTGTTGTTCCATGTCCAGTTCTAATTGTTGCTTCATGACCTGCATACAGATAGCTCAGGAGACAGGCTAGGTGGTCTGGTATTCCTGTCTCTTTTAAGAATTTTCCAGTTTGTTGTGACCCACACAGTCAAAGGCTTTGATGTAGTCAATAAAGCAGAAGTAGATGTTTTTCTGGAACTCTCTTGCTTTTCGATGATCTGGTGGATGTTGGCAATTTGATCTCTGGTTCCTGTCTGTTTTCTAAATCCAGCTTGAACATCTGGAAGTTCACGGTTCACGAATTGTTGAAGCCTCCTTGGAGAATTTTGAGCATTGCTTTGCTAGCCTGTGAGATGAGTGCAATTGTGTGGTAGTTAGGACATTGTTTGGCATTGCCTTTCTTTGAGATTGGAATGAAAACTGACCTTTTCCAGTCTTGTGGCCACTGCTGAGTTTTCCACATTTGCTGGCATATTGAGTGCAGCACTTTCACAGCATCATCTTTTAGTATTTGAAATAGCTCAACTGAATTCATCACCTCCACTAGCTTTGTTCCTAGTGATGCTTCTAAGGCCCACTTGAGTTCACATTCCAGGATGTCTGGCTCTAGGTGAGTTATCACACCATTGTGGTTATCTGGGTCATGAAGATCTTTTTTGTACTGTTCTTCTGTGTATTGTTGCCACTTCTTCTTAATATCTTTTGCTTCTGTTAGGTCCCTACCATTTCTGTCCTTTGTTGAGCCCATATTTGCATGAAATATTCCCTTGGTATCTCTGATTTTCTTGAAGTGATCTAGTCTTTCCCATTCTATTGTTCTTCTCTATTTCTTTGCACTGATCACTGAGGAAGGCTTTCTTATCTCTCCTTGCTATTCTTTGAAACTCTGCATTCAAATGGGTGTATTTTTTCTTTGCTCTTTTGATTTTTGCTTCTTTTCTTTTTGTAGCTATTTGTAAGGCCTCCTCACACAACCATTTTGCCTTTTTACATTTCTTTTTGTTGGGGATGGTCTTGATCACTGCCTCCTGTACAATGTCACGAACCTCTGTCCATTATTCTAATATTTGTTTTGTGTGTGTAGAATCTTTAAAGTTTTCTACATATAAGACCATATCATCTGCAAACAGAGATAATTTTGCTTTCTTTCCTATTTGAATTCCTTTTACTTCTGTTTGTTTCCTAATTGCTGTCTAGAACTTCTAGTATTGTGTTAAATTGAAGTGGTGAATGTAGACCTCCTTGGCTTGTTCTTAATCTTTGAGGAAAAGCTTTTAGTCTTTCGCTATTGAGTATGCTGGCCATTGTGGCTATTTTATATAAAATTTCTGTTATGTTATGGTAGTTTTGTTTTATTTTTTCTATGCCTAGTACTTAAGTGTTTCATGAAAAAGTGTTGAGTTTTGCCAGTTGCTTTTTTTGCATCATTTGAGATGACCATGTATTTTTCCCTTCATTCTATTAAGGCAGCATATTACATTGATCAATTTCCATCTGTTGCATCATCCTAGCACTCCAGGGATAAACCATACCTAGTCATGTTGTGTAATCCTTTTAGTGTGCTGCTAAATTCAACTTGCTAACGTTCTGTTGAAGAGTTGCATCAGTGCTCATAAGGGATAGTTGTTTATAGTTTTCTTGTGTTTTGGTCTTGCTTTGCTATTAAGGTAATGCAGATGTCATAGAATGAGTTAGAAAATGTTTTATCCTCTGGTTTTTGAACAGTTTGACAATGATTGTTTCATTTCTTCTTTAAATATTTAGTAGAATTCACCCATGTGAAGCCATCTTGTCTAGGGCTTTTTCTTCCTTTGTCAGGAGATGTTTGTTTATAGATTCAGTTTCCTGAATAGTGATGCTGCTAAGTCGCTTCAGTCGTGTCCGACTCTGTGTGACCCCATAGACAGCAGCCCACCAGGCTCCCCAGTCCCTGGCATTCTCCAGGCAAGAACACTGGAGTGGGTTGCCATTTCCTTCTCCAATCTGAATAGTGGTAGTCTATGCAGATTGTTTATTTCTTCATAATCCAGTCTGGATAGGTTTTGAGCTTCTAGGAATTTGCCCATTTTATCTAGGCTATCAAATTTGCTCATATAAAATTGTTCCTGGTACTTTATAATAATCATTTTGCTCCTGTAGGATCAGTAGTAACATTCTGTCATCTTTGATTTTAGTAATTTCCACCATCTCTCTTTTCCTCTTAGTTCATCCAGCTAAGGTTTGTTAATTTTATGACCTCTTCTGAAAACCAAAGTTTGGTTTCATTGATTTTCTCCATTGTTTTTCTATTTTCTGTTTCATATATATCTTACCTAAGCTTTATTATCTTATTCCTCTTCTAGCTTTAGAATTGTTTTGTTCTTCTTTTTCTAGTTCCTTAAATTTGTGAAATTAAATTGTTTGAGATTTTCCTTGTTTTTTAGATGTAAGCATTTACAGCTATTAGTTTACCCTTTAGTATCACTTTGGCCACATATCATAAGTATTGGTATATCATATTTTTGTTCTGTTCATCTCTTAAGTGTTTTCTGGTTTCCCCTATGATTTTTTTTCTTTAATCTTTTGGCAATTTAATCTTTACTCTTAACATAGTTACTTATATGGGTTAATCTTCAAATGTTGAATCTCATCCTTTATTCTTAAACCCTATTTGGTGATGATTTGTTATCCTATTTGTATATTGCTAAATCCTATTTGCTCATCTTTGTGTATATCTGTCCCTTTCTTCTTTGCCTTTCGCTTCTCTTCTTTTCTCAGCTCTTTGTAAGGCCTCCTCAGACAACCATTTTGCCTTTTTG